CACTCACCACTCACTCACTCACACTCACTCACTCACCACTCACTCACTCACTCACTCACTCACTCACTCACTCACTGTCACCGAGTCAATGTCAACTCAGTGGCTCTCTAGAACAGAGTAGAACATCCCCTGCGGGTTTCCGAGGCTGAAAGTCTCGTCTTTCTCCCATTCAGTTGTGGCAGCTCAAGGCCCAGCTTACCTGTGTAGAGGACACTAGACTTGCCTGCAAAGCCCAAGACAAGTCGATTGACAGAGACAGTGACTGGTTTCTTGGGGGCGTGGCAAGGGGAGGTGGGGGGGTGTTGGGACGGGGAGTGAATAACAAGTACGAGAGATTAGAAAATGTTCCCAAATGGATCGTGGTGATGACTGTACAACCCTTCTCAATAGGACTGAGTGACTGGAATATGACGGGTGCATTATAGGCCAATGGAACCGCTCAAACACATGTAGCCTTGGGAACCCAAAGGAGCAGTAAGACAAAAAGGACCAAAAATAAAATAAAATAAAAAAACAAGCAACACAATACAGTCCCCTCAGACTACGCTCCTTTGCGTTTTGCAACTAAGAAAGGGGAAAGGGAGGGTTCCTCGCTTTCTCGTCATGTACCTGAGCCGAGGGGCTCCATTGTCCCCGATTTTGGAGGTGAAGTAGGCCAAAGGGGGCTTGCCAAAACAAGCAGCAGTTTCAACTCACTGCCATCGAGTTGATTCTGACTCACAGAGACCCGATAGGATAGAGGACAGACAACTGTCCCCGAGGATTTCTGGGGCTGTCAATCTTTCTGGGAGCAGGCAGCCTCATCTTTCTCCTTCAGAGCAGCTGGTGGAGTCGAACTGCTGACCATGTGGTTAGCAGCCCAACGTGTAGCTTGGATTCTGCACTGTCAGGCTGAGGCTGCCCATGGTAAGCATGACTTTCTGTCTCAGTGTAACTTTGCTTTACCACAATATTACAAGTGTTATCTTGGCACTTTTACCAGCTACTTGGTCAGCGTCAGGGACTTTGGATGCTTCTGAGTATGTGGGGTCCCCGGTCACGCACA